TACGCTGCTGCCACGCGTCGCCGTTCCGACGTGGTGGGCACTCTTGGCTCTGGGCCAGGATGCCCTCTTGAAGATCTGTAACGGTGGAGACCCAGCGGCGCTTCTACACAAGACGGCGGGACGCATAAGATGGGCGCGTATTGTTTCAGTGTTGCATCGCTGCCTCTCGAGGCCCAGGGTGCCGGACCGATCCATTCTGGAGCAATAATAGCAAGCGAGCTGCAGCATGCCATGGCCAACATGGGTGTCTATCGCCCATGCAGTTGCATGCACGATATACTAGACGGCTGCAACTACGATGTGCGCCGACGCGCGCCTACTCTAGCAGCGCGAGAGTTCAGTGCATGACTCGTATGACGTTTGCAGCAGAGGCAGCAAGTTTGTCGAGGTGGTGGTATGCGGGGTGGGAATGGGGGCGAGGGCGAGGGAAAAGGCGTGGGTTCCGATGCTTTGGGCCGGCCGAGGCTTCTGAGGCTTCTCCCGTATCCCGCGTATGGTACCTTCCGCGGACCCTCCAGGGAAGAAGGGAAGGAACGGCCGGCCGCCCACTCGTAGGAGGAAAGGGTGCATCACTGCATCCAACGTCTGGACTCGGACCTACTCACTCTCCGGTCTTCGCGCACTCCAACGCACGCTGCATGCCACTGCAAATGCGAATGCACCCACGGAAAGCAAACCCATGTTTTCCGCGCTCCCTTTTGCCCACACCCCCATCCACGACGCATCGCAATCTTGCGCCGCGTGCAACCAAACAACGCGTCACGTTCGCGCGACCTGCTAACGACATGGAGAGGCGCCATGTCACCATGTTTGATAACCACGGTCCTTTCTCGGAGCATCCCTCAGCCTGTAATGCGCACACCATTGTCAGTGATCGCCGCACAATGTTCTGACATGTCCGGCACCGCCGTGACAGCTCGCCGGTCGACATCGGCATGAGCAGGCGTTGCCGACGCGCTCTGCCTGCATCGTGACCGCCAATTCGTCACAATCGCGTATTGCATCTGCCATCGCCTTTCGCCAGACCACCGGACTCTGCGCTTCCTCCGAGAACCACGCCTCCCCATCCCCGCAACCGAGCCGCACGTGTAGGGGACCGCTTTTCACCTCCGCCGATTCCGTCCTGCCCTGCGTCCATCACTCCTCCTTTCGAGCGGACGCGACAGCCATGTGCGCACCATCAAGGCATCCACCTCGTCTACCAAACTCCTCCTCAATCCAACCTATACACCGCCAATGTGACTGGCGGGCGCTGCAAACTCTATTCCGCCCTAGGACCCAGCTCATGATGCGATTCCCACCCTCCGCTGCCCTCGTTACCGATGGCGAGGTCCTGCCGCGCAGCATCTCACATAGTACACCGACGTGCTGCGCCGGTCCTGCGCCACTTTTTCCGCCTGTCACCACGCCGCCTGTATCTTACCACTCTCCCGGATAATCTTCGCCCGCTGCGAACCGCAGTCGCCGACCTAATCGCTGTGCGATATACACACTTGTCCGGTGCTAGCAGAGAATGGTGGAAATGAAACTTTGGCCTCGCTGATCTCTCCGCGCTCCGTCCCAGTCGCATCAGCTGTCAGGTCGAAAAAAATCTTTGCTGCAGAATACATATGCACGACGTTATGGGATTACACTAGCCCATCTGCCGGTGAGCGGCAACCGTTTGCCTGGTCCTTCGACGTGTTGGTGGCGTGGTTACAACCAACCGTTCGGATCCTCTCCCAGCTCCCAGCTCCCAGCAACAACAACGATGGATTGCTATATTCGGCCCATCTTGTTCGCTCTCGGAGGCAGCGACATTTTACATTATGCAAGGGCGCGCCTTTCGATCCTGCTTGATTCTGCTTGATCCTGCTCCACGGATCCAATGAGCTTTATCCTCTTACACGATCAGCCAGCCAGCCAGTCAGGCTGCAGAGTGACTGGCCCCACGGACCGGATCCCTCGCAGGTCCCGAAGATGGTCCGCATTAGTTCCCACCCACTTGGCTCTTCCCTCGAAGTCCGTCCGTTCGACTCAGTCAGTTCACATCCCCATCGCTTACACTGAGGAAACATTCCGCACCATGCCACCCTACTCGACCGCTTTCCTGTAAGTTTCCGACTCCAGTTTATACTTTCGTTCATTCGGACCCCCACTATGATGACAAACGCTGGGGCCATAAGAGTTCCTCTCCGCTCCCTCATCCCGCATGGGGGAGTGGATCGCAGGAACAGTGCTTTCAAAAACCAGCAATATTCTACCAAGAATCTTCTCAACTTTTCTGATATTCCACAACAAACCACGCACTCTGCAATGACGCTTACTCACCGGGACGTATCCAAAGCTAACCATTGGTCAGGGTCGAACACTCCGGTGCTAAAGCTAGTGCTCTTATAGCAACTCTAGCATACTTACTAGCGGAAAGCTTGGTACGTTTAGTTTCGACTCGGTTAAGAGGAGATCTTGAATCGAGGGTCTGGCATCGGAGAATAGGCAAGAACTGGGAAGGTGGCAGTGGTTTGTGACACTGCTTGCGTCGCATCTTTGACTCTACACGGCGGTACCGCGTTTGCGGGATCTGCATAGCCGTCGATCCAGGCCGTTCACCTCCGATGACGCGATTCATGAGCCCACGGCGTGGGTATAGGAATATTCGCGTTGCCGATGATCGTCGGTGAGGTAGGTCGTTACGCCAGTCGTCGCATTCGCATTGCAGCTTGTCTAGGTGAGAGAGGTACGTACCTACGTATACCCGGCCGTGAACGGGTGAGTCGTCAAGCCGCCTACGCATCTCTAACGACAAGCGTACGAGTAAGCCCGCGGAGAAAAGCAGGAAAAGTCCGTGGAGAAACTCGAGTAAGTCCGTGGGGAAATTGCACTGACATCGTCGAGCAAAGCCACAGTCATGCCACCGCTCTTCCTCACAAGGGGTCGACTCATTTCCGCTACCTCACCACGGCCTGCGGCATCTTTCCGTATCCAAACACCAGTCTTCAGTCTATACGACAGACCTCCGGGTACGCAAAGCGCGTCACCTGCCTCACGTATATTTCCTGTTCCCTCCCACTACACTAACATCGCACTACTTCTTACTCCAACTACTCCAAGCTGCTAGAATCACGCCTTTTCTTAGTCCCCGTCCTTGCGGCGGCCAGCCCCCAGGCGTTATTTGACATTGAGCTGGTCGTGATATTTTCCGCTTTGGTTCACTAGTAGGTGCGGTCGATCTTGGCTCCCGCTAGCTTGGAGGATCTAGTCTGCTGTACTCCGTGCTTTAGTTGATGTTAAGATCTCTTAGTTTGCATACCTGCGGCTCGCTTAGGGAGGGTAGTCTGAGTGCAGTTTGGGTGTGGACATGGGAAAGGAGATTTGGTTCGGGGCGCGAAGGCTTGAAGTTTGTTTGGGGGGAGACACGTGGAAAGGACATGGGCGTTTGGAGGTGGGTGCGTGTAGTATAGTGTGGTGTGCGATATGCCCAGGCAGATATGCGATGGAAAGCACTACTGCTACGTCTATTCTGGCATCAACCAACTTCAACATGAAGGTATGTTGCTTTGCTCTTCCTATAATCCAGAGCCTCAATAGTATGCATTGATTATAACGCGTAGCCCTGCCATGCTTCTTATAAATCCAGCAGTGAACTTAATGAACATCCACCCATCTTCCTCTCAACCCCATTCCTTTCTCTAGACATTATAATCTTACACCTCTCCCCTCCCAATCACACCAGCCAACCACGTCAAACTCCTTCTTCTGTTCCCTCTCCTCTCTTTCTTCCCTCCCACCTTCCAAGAAGCAATCGTAGCTTCTCTACACAGCGGTCCTCCGTCTTCTTCCCGCTCATCCTCCGACACCACAATATCTTTGCCAACAACAATCGCTATTTTCCCGTCATGCGCGTTGTAGTTGCATAGAGCCAGCGGGGCTGGAGCCCAGCAGGGTGTCGAACATGTACACGCGAGATGTGATGCGGGCGCGAACATGTGTGAGAAGAAGTCTTGAACTGCGGAGGAGAGGTGATCGCAAGTTATGTGGTGGTGTGGATGTGGTGAGTGCGTGGGTTTACTGGAAGTGGAAGGTAGGTGAGGTGTTTGGCTTTGGTAGTGCTGTGCGAGCATGGTGTTGTAAGCTGAGACGTCGGGAATGTTTGGGTAGAGTGACATGTGGTGGTGTGTGGAAGATGTAGTACGCTCTTTATGTTTGGTTGTGCTTAGTTGTGCTTGGTATGGTGATGTAGAGGTTTGGTGGTTAAGGTATTGGTGAAGCTGTGATAGAATCCTCGTCTTTGCTGATGATAAGTACAGCAGTATCGATACATTCAAACAGCTGTAGTATATACTCGAACTCTTTCAGAGCCAACACTACGTCAACATCGTCTGCCAGACATCCCATGACCGAACGAGACAGAACACCATGGTGTGACTTCCAGGCGATCCAGTATACAAACCTCGGGCAATTTCACCCGTGACCAGAAAATAACAACTTAGAGAAAATAGGCGTCAAACGCAGCTGTCAATATGCGCACGTCGTTCGACACAACGACGCAGGGTCCCGATAGTGGAGAGACAAGTGGCGTGATGGTTCGCGGCGGCAACAGCCGGTCTCGCCACCACAACCACGCGGCATGTGTTCCCGGCAGCCACCCGATCCCTGCATATCAGTAATCCCCCATGCACAGCTATAGTGCAACTGCATTGATGTAGTAGAGACCATGGACTCAGAACGGGAGAATGGGGTGATGTTGGTAAGTCAATGCGTGAAGGGAATGGAATACGATGTCGCGTGTTGGGTGTATGCACGCGAAGCCCGTATCAGCAGTTGAAGTCTCACCACCACGTTCGGTGTTGCGGGGAGATGGGGAGGTGGTATGGACGAGAAAGAGTATTTCATGCACATGTGATGGTTCTGCTTAAGGCCCCATACATAACATCACAACGATAAGATCGATATCAACGTCGACGTCTACAGCTGCTCATCTATCTTCCACAGTGACGAGAACGATAACGAAAACAACGATCATGACCACCAAACCAGTCCTCTCCAATCCCCAGCTCACAGCAATCACCGCCGCAGACCTCGCTTTCGAGCGCGAGAAAGCTGCCATAACGTCTTATGAAGAAGGCTGGGATCGATGGGACGGGCCGATCTATCCTATTGGCTTTGTGCAGTGTCGGATGCGTAAGTCATCTTCCTATTCTCTTGTTACCTCTGTGAGATCGAGAGGATGACCAGATAGCTGACTATTTCCGCGCAGAGGAAGATGGATACGTTGCGCCAAGCGCAATCGAGGAGATGAAGGCTAAAGGCGTGGAAGTTACGGTGATGGAGGTCAGTGAGAAGTGAAGGTGCATAGGGGATCTTGAGGTTTATATTTTCTTGGGTGTTGCGCCGCTTGGAAGGCGAATTTGTTATAGCGGCTGGCTTTGTTTGGACATGTATTTGATGTACTGATGTGACCTCCGGTGCTTGGCCATAAGAACATAATGTCGCAACACATTCTGGAAGCTTGCTGTACACACATGTTACGCTGAAGACTGCTGGATGGAAGAGTCAAGTCTAGATGCCGTGTATTCAACTACATTGAAGACGAACTCATGGCATCAGCCGCGACAACGGCATCGCCCAAGCTCATTCAAGCGCCTTTACCCAGCGCATACCAGTTTACTCCCAAATCCAAAACGCCTGTCATTACAAAGCAGCGTTTCGCTGTGTATGTCCAGTACAAGTTCGGCCGTGATAAGAACTAATCATCAGTGTGCGATTGCGCAACACTCATCTTGTGAAGTTGTGACCGCTGACGTGGAACAGTTTATGTTTTCGTCCCAAACCCAACAACGCCGAGTAGATGCTGTATTGATGCCAGCATCGCGTAAACAAAAACAAAAGGAACCAAAGAATCAGAAGGTCTTTAACTAGCCTGCTTGATCTTCAGATCCATGACATACTGCATCAAGCTGCAGTCGTCACACTTGACAAGCGACTGTAGAGCCTTGACCCTCGTCCGAAGCAATTGGTTCTCATCTGCCAGGCTCTTCTTGTCCTTTTCCATCTGCTTGATGTAGGCAGTCGCCGAAGCTAGGATGACTGCTTTGCTCGGCTTCGAGGGTGTGGGTAGGTCCTCGATATCGGCGCCGTCGCATGCTCGTTGGTTCTGGAGGGAGGGCACGACACGCTTGAGGGAATCTAGTTGTGTGTTGAGCGATTCTCGGTACTTTCGTTCGACTTGGTTGTGCGGCAGTCGTCGGCGTGGCTTTGTCTTCTCATCGTCGTTGGCTTGGGGTGATTCTTTGGCGGAGGCGTCTTCTGTCGTCTCGCTCTTCATTCGTTGCCGGTCGTCTGTTGGAGATGTGGTTGTGTCTTTGCTTTCTCTTTGTTGGGTTGAGAAACCGTTCGCTGATGCGTCGCTTTCGGATCGCTTCTTGGGACGTGGTTGGATCTCCACTATACCGTCTTCGGCAGTGACTTCTTGTGGGTCATTCAGCAGGTTGCTGATACTTGGGAGAGCGTCTTGGTCTGCGAATAGAAAGGGAGCACATCCCCCACCGCACGTCGATGGGTTAGGTGGTGAACCATTTACATCGTGATTGGGACAAAGTGGCGATGTCCAGCAGGCAGAGAGTATGTCAGGCTTGTTCTTGGTACGTTTCGACGTAGTGTTTGTTGTTGTTGATGTTTGAGTCCTCTCAAGCCCTGGCTTGGTGGTGGTAGATGATCCTTTCGGGCCGTCGGGGAAGGTGAGGTCTTCGACGAAACCGGAATCTAGATTGTTGGGAAACAAAGATTCATAGGCAGGGTTGGGGAAGGTGTTGGCACGTTGAAGTGCTTGCCTCTGAGCTGGCGGCATGTTGGCTGACTGGTCTAGGCCGTTTACGTCTGATGGTGTCTGAGATGTAGAGTTGTTACCAGTCCCATGTACAGGCTCGGGTGAAGACTCATTGGTCGATCTCCCTCCACCGATGTTGTTGCCAAAGGGCTTGAGAACGTCGAGATCGCCCAGAAAGTAGTCGTTAGGCAGGAATAGCGAGTCGTCAAAGTAAGGATCGCCTGATGTTCCTCCGAGAAGGGAGTCAAAATTGGTGACGTCTTCAGGTGAAGAGCCTGACGTGTCGGTGGTGGTCGACTTAGGCATCTGGGAAGTGGGAGGGGCAGACGTTGGTGGTAAAAGATCGGACCATTGGTCGTTCGGTAGGTTGAAACCCTCAGTATTGAGGAATGCGTCCCAATTGAGAGCCATGATGATAGTCCGCGGGTGGGTTGTTGCACGGAAGAGCTCACGCGTTGATCAGGAGATACAATCGCTAAGGTACCCTGGCCAAGCCACACGTGAGACTAGCGGGCGAGGTGCAGGATCAGGGTCGAGCTGGGGTCGAGGTTATAAACGCGGGCACTTCCTTTGTCTTTGTCAAGTTAAAGAGACGCTCGTCGGTACTCAACATGGGTCGATGGTGAAGAGGTATCCACGCGATTGAGAGAAGTTTCTCTAGTTTTTACACGGGAATAGGCGATGGGTTAAGGCGGGTGAGTAAGACCCAAGGAACAGCTTGGCAGTAGTTGCAGGTCAATACAGGCGAAGTCCACACCGTTTCGTGGTACTCCTCGTACCGGGTTTGATCTACCGACTGGTCAGGGGGTATGAAGATGCAGTATCGAGAGTGGCAGGTGCAAAAGGCAGTCAAAAGCCTTAGAAATGTCAGTCGCTCCAACGGGACTTTCGGTACAGCAATTGTGCGGATGTTGTCCTGTGCCCTGTTCTGCGCTGTTCTAGATTACCAAGGCAGAGGTTGATCAGACCACCAGAGGGTGGCGTGACATTTCCCTGCGCCCCGCTCCATGCCCGGAACCATCCTAGCGATGGCACGCCGTGCGCCTCATTACGAGGTCCTAGCCACAGCAATATCTTTTTCGCATTATTTTCGGATTGCCGTCGCTCTTGTGCCTGAAGATCATAACAGGGTGACATGGAATGAAAAGAGTGCGGGTGTGTTGAAGACGATGCCATGTTAGAGCGGGAGCCAACGACACTCCCGTTAGCGGCTTCAGCTGCCCCACTAATAGCAGCCGCATCTCAACATGCGCCTATGCTATCAAGACCAAGTCTGTATGCCCTCTCTATTTGCAGGGAAAGTGAAAAGACGCAAATAGTCTTCGCGAGAGGTTCAAAACTCGTTTGTTGTGTCTATTCGAATCGATGTAGCGAGAACTAATTCGGCAAGACAAGGAGATGCCGGGCATCTAGTAGACTGAGCTCTACTCCCCTATATCTCGGGACTTCATTTATCCATGACCCTAGACTATCGCCATCGAATTATTTCCTCTCGTCGGTATGGTGCTATCATTACGCCTGAGCGGAAGGCCATTGCTCTTCCTAAGACGCATAGTGTCTTGGGTTGAGTATATTGACCCACTTCTTCATAGTCTCCGTCCGACCACTCCACCGACCCTGGCATTTTCAAAATTGGAAAGGCAGGTACTGGAGAACCGTCCGTTAGCCGTACGCGGCTGTGGCGCGGATGCTCCCGTGTAGGCGAAGCGCCTAGAAACCCGTTGTTAAACCCGTCTCCGCTGCGTCTAAGCCCTGGCTGTGCATCGCTCCGGGCTCTTCGATCTAAAGTCTGGTGCGCCTGTTCGCGGATGTGGTCGCTCTCGATTGCCCAAAACAGCCTATGCCAAGATCTGGTAGAAATGTGCATCATCTTCCAGACATTCAAGAGCCTCACGAAGCTTGAACTGTGTCTTTAATTGTCCATTGCAGCAGTTATACCATTAAGACTACCGGAATGGTTGGATCCATTCCTTCGCGGACTTTTCTTCTCGCTGCCCGAGACCCGGGTATTATCGGTCGATGGCACAAGGGACAGTACTCATTGTACCTTGTGAACCACTCGTCGAGGCAATGCGAGTGGAAAGCATGAGAGCAGCGGAGGCCCCGAACCTGCGCATCTTCGGCGAAATCGTCAAGACAGATGGCGCTGTTTTACAGTCAGTCCAGTCCACCCATCAGATAGGACTTGTCTCGCATACTTACCACAGGGGATCGGATGCTTGCGATAAGTCGGAAGACTTTTCCTTTTGACTTTCGAGCCAATCATAGAAATTTTGTGATTTGATGTGCGCCTCCAGCTCGTCTTGCCGCGTCTTCCAGCGCTTCTCTTTGTGAGTAGATTCATCGCGGACGCATCGTGGGAGAATGAAGCCCCTGCGGCGGTTCCTATCGTCAGCTTAGACATGCATGAGGTCCTCTGACACCAGTGCGGAGACTGACATGATGACCAGCGTAAGGAGTAAAATGATCAAGACCGAGGGCACGATGATCGCGATGACGATCGTACCACTCTTTACACTCGCCGGCGACGTCTCTTCTTCAGTGTTGTTTGCCATAATAATAAGACTGGTAGGGTATATCCACACAGAGAGAAGAGAGAAAACCAAAGCTTGAGCGCGCTTCGAGCTGTTGCGTATATACGGCGGATTGGAGTTCCTTTGTCGACCGATTTAAGCTGCGTGCATACCAAGGGTGTCGCAATCACCGACTGCGCGCATGTGGTGACCCCGGAGTAACGGAATGTATGGCTCGAGGACCACGGGATGGGTAGATAGGAAAGCAGTGTTCACGTTCGAGCGCGCAGCTCGGAGGAAGGCGGATTCGCAGAGACAGAGGAAGACCCAACCTTAAAAGTAGCTACATCATCGTCAGATGAAGCCCAAGGCTGGCTCTGCAGCTCGATACACCCAATGCGGGCTTGGCCTATCTACCCTTGACGCGTCGCTCCTCTCAGCGTGCTCCATTCTTGAGCCAAGGGCAGAGCTCTTAAAGTTGGCCAACCAGGTTTCATCGGCGTGCTCTTGTGACGCGGGGTCGAGAGCTGAAAGGGCCGACAAACTTCATGAAGGGCAAGGCGCCCGCGTTGTAACATGCTGCGCAACCTTATAAACCTCGATCCACGGGAGAACAAGAACTCTTGGGTGGGACGATGGCGCTAGCAGTCGGGCCATGTGAGGGTGTGAAGGATCGGTGCTCCAGGTGGAGACGGAGGGTGGGCGCTAGGGCCCACACCACGCCCATCACTTGTGGGGTAGCAGATCTTGTAAACTGGAGTTCTGCTCGCGATAAGCATTCTGTTACGCATTTCTTGGTATGGGCGTCTTGGTCATTCGAGTGCGTGAGTTTCCTTTTGGACGACCTCCAGGGCTCGGGAAGATTTCCTCAGAACGAGCGCTACGCCGAATGCGGCCTAGGGCGTGGCACCGGATAAACGAGCTCCTTCGTAAGCAAACACGCAAGCAACACGCAAACCTCATCCGCTACGTACCGTTTCGCCGACGCGCTGCGCAAAGCCACACAG